CATGTGATTTTCATGTGCAACTATATTTATGAAAACAACTGTAACATATATTTCTTTGTCTTCTGTCAATTGTCTATATAGATATACTGATTTTATATCTATCTAATGTATTTCATAATTATTCAATGCTACCCATACTAATATTAATCATACTATAGATAGTCTAACAGTAGGAGCAAATAAATTGTCTGTATAATAGTTAAGACTGTCAATCTGATAGTTTCCTTAAACTACTAATCATGCTTTGTATTTTTCTATACTATTGTCAGTGTATTGCTTTATTTTATAGACAAATTGTGTTCTGATAATGTTAATATTATTGTGTGGATTTGTGATTTCCCATGTGTTATAATTTTCTAATTGTTTTATTTTGTCTTTTATAGCTGTTATTTATGAATCACAATCTGGACATTAGATTGCTTTATAAAATGAAGTCGGATCTAATTGTATTTCACTTATTTTAACATTAAATTCTGTTAAATGAATGGCAATATTATCTTCATCCTTTTTACTAAGTACATACATGTGTTTTGTTATGTGTTTATTCTTTATGTGTTGTTCAAGCTTGATAGTACATTCTGTTAGTTTCTGTTTCTGTTCTAATCAACATAGTTTAGGTTCTACTTCTTTTTCAATTAATTTAACTTTGTTGTCTGTTAAGTCTATTGGTTCTACTACTTTTCCTTTTTTATTAGGATTAGTGTTGTCTGTATCATTGTTGTCTGTTCTCATTATTCTGTTGTCTGTTTTGTTATTTTTAATTATTAAACACTTGTTTGTATTGTTGTTTGTATTGTCTATTTTCTCCCCTTCAATTTAAGAAGGTTTACCTTTAAGAAATTGGATATTTTGTTTGATAGTGATTTTATTATTGTGTCAAGTTTTATAGCCTTTACTTTCATTGTCTAATCCTATCCAACAAGTGATGATACCTTACTATTGTATTTTTGTAGGATTTTTGTTGCAAATAATAATATATTGACTAAATTCATGTATATTATCAATTGTTCTGTAGGTTCTGTAACGTTTGTAATGTAGAGTATTATAATTTAATACAGTACACAGTGTTCTATTATGAATATAGGTAATATGAATTGCTACTTTGGCCCATAATGTAAATGGTAATTTAGTAGATGTTAGATATACTCTTACACCTCTAAATATAGTTTTATGAGTTTGTTCTACTATTCTGTTCTGTTGTAGAGTATAATATACTGTTAATCTTCATTTTGTTCCTTGTAAATCTAAATATTGTTGGAAATCTTCACTAAGGAATACAGTATTGTTATCACTTTGTAAAAGCTTTATTTTAACTCTGTACTGTGTAAATATTTTAGTTGTCCATCATACATATTATATATATGTATCAGATTTTGTTTGTAATTTAAGCATTATACACTAATAAGTATAATTGTCTACAATTGTTAATAGGTAGTGTATGTTCTTATATGTGTGTAGTTTGATAGGACCAATAGTATCAATATGAATAAGATTCCTAAATTGATTTGCAAGAGGAGATTAACATAGTTTTAGTATTGGTGTACATTTGATATTTGCTTTTATACATTCAATACATTCCTTTTCTTTGTAGTTTGTTATTTTAGTTGATAGTACACTTGGTTGTGTTTTTAATAATTGTTTGATATAATTGTAACTTATATGTCCAAGGCATTTATGTATATTATAAATAGATAGTTTGTTCATTGTTTTTAACAAATGATTATTGTACAAAATATACAAGTTATTTCTCAATTGTATATGTCTGACATATTTGTTACATAGTAATGTTATAGTACAAGTATTGTTTGTAAACATAAAAGAATAGCCTTCCCTACATAGTAGTACTTGACTTATGAGGGAAAAGTTCATTTGTAGATAGTAATAGATGTTTTGTAATGTTATGATACTTCTTTCTTGTGTATTCTTTAGGATTTTGATATGTATAGATCCAGCTTGATTAAGAGTCATTGTTAATCTATTTGCAATAGTTACAATTGTAGGAGTTATGTTGTGTACATCTGTTAATCAAAATAGATAAGGAGTAGTATGTATTAATGTACCAGAATTGAGTAAATCTATTGTTTATGTATAGGATTTCTTGTTAGCTATGATTGTATTTGTAAATACATTAGTACATACCCAGGAAGCATATTGTTTGAATTGTTTGTCCTGGTTGCTTGGAATAAGAGCATAGGTGTTATTGTTCATTTCAACATTGTTTTCCTTTAATTCAACATTGTTTTTGTTTAGGTTTTCAATAATAAATGTGTTTGTTGTGTTTTCCACAGTTTGGTTTGTTTTATGTACAATGTTAGCTTGATGTTTGGCACAGGCAAGCTTTATAGCTTCAGTAGGAGGTTTGTAGCATTCCTTAGAGAAATGTTCTGTTTTTCCACAATTGAAACATTTTGCTTTTGTTGGATTGAACAGATTTGGCAGATTGAACAGATTTGGCAGATTGAATTTCCTCTACTTATTAGCTTTATACATTGTATTAGTGTGTGCATTATTCTTTGTCTGATCATTAGAATCTTGTGCTTGTTTAGTACAGTAATTATTGTAAGTGTTCTGTAATGTAAGAATTAGTTACTTCAGTTCAACTTTCTTATGTTTATTGACTGGTTTGCCTTTGTTTTGGGTATCAGTAGATTGTATAATTGTATTTACTATGTGTGTATATTGTTCAGGGGTAGTAAGCAATATTGCTACTTTGTATGTAGAGTCTCTTGGTGGATCACTGTTGGCAGACAGGGTTGTATATGCTTCCTCAAGTCTGTCTAATGTATGTCCAAAATGTTTAACATGATCTCTACAGATAAACAGTGCTGATTTGTTAATAACCTTTTTACATACTGTTTAAGGGTTGAAGCATTCTTCAAGCACCTTCATCAGCTGAGGGATAGATGTATTGAAATGCATATAGTTTGCTAATATAGTATCAGTAATGTTATTAACTATACATACATGAATAGCCTTAACTATCTCCCTCTCAGCTTTGTTCTGTGGTTCATCCTTTAATAAGTGTTCAAAGCACATAGCTGCAACACTAGAAACAATGTGGTAGTGCCACATCTTGTAGTTTGCTTCAGTCTTAAGCATGGTAATGTTTTGACCAAAGTATTTGGGTATGTTGGCTGGTTTGCAGTGTGTGTCAGTGTGAGGGGGAACCATATTACTAAGTTAATACAGGCAGGGAGTGTAAGGCTCATAATCTGTGAAAAGAGAAGGCATGCAAGAACAAGGGGCAAGGTGACAATTGACTGCTCAGTGTCTCTCGTCCTTATATTGTATGTATTCTAACTGAGACATTATGAAGTCATTTTCTCGTGATAAACTCATCATCTCGTGATAGTCTCACATATAATATTGCAGTAATAATGGTATTAACATTACTTACTTTAAAAAACACTTGTAGTATAATACAATTCTTGTATAATCATTACATTTATATACAATTGTTACAATTTAATTATGTGCCACATATAATTGTTATTTTAGATTGTAATAGATATATAACTACATTATTAAATTACATTTGCTATTATTAACTACATTTGTTGCGACTTTTTCGTGATGGAGATACTCGCGTTTCTGTGCCGGGGAATGTGTTGAGTAAGAAGAGATCATAGATAGTTTTAACGACTCGGAGTAGGCCCAGGTATTCTAAGAGGATCACGCGTGGCTACCACCACCATTGGAACGTAGAACTTTTGTCCCATTAGGCCCACGACTGAGGAAACACAATACGCAGCAGTAGAGTGAGCATGTCATGACCACCACCAAACCATGTTATATCATGAAGGACAGTGACGCTTCCTCATTTTCCTCCGCCCCTTCACTCAAAGTTCTTTTTACCACTTTCCACTCCCTCCTTCTCCTTACTTCCCGAGGCTTCGCTTGTGAGCGTTCTAAAGTCTCAAGTGATTTGATACCTTGAGCTTCTATTCGGTAACAATGGTTGAGAATGTTGCATACAACAGTGATAATCGCAAGGGATCAAGAGACCGGCTCCACTACGAGAAAAGAAATGCAAACGATGAAGTGGTTTTGTCTCAAGTCACTGACGAAGTGGCGAACTATCCTGACCATACTGAGGAACGGTTGGTGCTCTCCTTACATCTGGATTTCAGTTGTTCAAACTGTTGTTTATTGGGACTCACTTTTGTCACATAGGTTTGTTGAGGTTGCGTTCCGCACCCTTGCTCCCGGTCTTCCAATTATTCCTACTCAAGAAGTTATCGAGGGGCTTGAGCTCCGAGATGCTCAAAAACTTGCTAATGTAAGTCCAATAATCCTCGACCACGTCCTTTGCTGTGTACTGATGGATCTCTCAACATAGGCCTATAATTTGCCTCCTAAACTTAGCTGGCCTTTGTTGAAACGGGAGCTTAATGATACACGCAATGGAATCTTGTCTGCATATACGTTAGTCTACCAAATTTTCTAATCTGTTTCGTGAATATTAAACTTAATTGTACTGCTGTTAATAGGAAAGAAGTTTTGAGCAAGAATAAAACAGCGCAGGCTAGGAAAGCATCGGTGTCCGAAGACGCCGTACGAGAATCGAAACGGCAACGAACGTCGAAGGAAACAGTAGACGGCGCGCCTTCGGTTACCGTGTCCTTTTCATTGTCTCGCAGGCGTCCTTCAGTTGGTTCTTGTGAGGATGAAGAGGAGTATCATATCATGAAACTCGCTCATCAACTTCTCTGCTCAAGCGATGCAGCTGAGGATACGGAGTCCTTTGACGAGGATAAGGTGAGAAGAAACATCTTAGACGGAGACTGCTCTATGAACGCAGAGGGCGAGGGCTTCACCGTAGAGCGGAAGAAATCGCCGACTAAGGTGACACAGTCCAAGAAAGCACTGTTTGTCATGTATTTGAAGCGAGTGGCACATACAGAAGATAGCATTTCTAGGTCTCAGCGGGCCCAGACGCTCGCAGATATACCGAATCCTCTCGTTAAGGCAGGAAAATCTTCCAGATCGGCAGGACCAATGGACCCTGATGACAATTTTTTCGGTCCCAGGACATTGAAGAATACCTCCTTACAAGCGGCTCAGGCAGCCTTAGTCAGTATTCCATACCAGATGGTTAGTCCTGGACGTGAGCCGGATAGTCCGACGTATGCTCCAGACAGCCCTGCATGCAAGCTGGCTGGCCCAGTTTATTCGCCCGACAGTCCGCCCTTTGAACAACCCATAGAGACGCATAAAGCAGACAGCACAACATGTGTCCCAGAGAGTCAAGTAGATGCCCCGACTCGATCACAGCTTCAATTATACCCAGTGCCCAGCAGTAGACATGGGAAACAGCGAGAAAGTGGGATGAAGCAAGACGCAGAGGATTCCGGGGCTAATGATTATAAGGGTAGCCATCATCGAAGCCACTCCGGTAACCGGAACAAAGGCAGCCATAAGAAAACGTATACGTACGTGCTGAGAGCTCCAGACTGGTCCCAGTCGAATCAACCCTCGCCTGATGAGGAATACGATTACAAAGAAGAGGAAATGGAGTTCCAACTCGGAGTCACTCGGAGCGAGGAACCACCAGACAGCGAATATGACTACGAAGAGGAAGAAGTGGAGTTCTTGTTAGACCCTACCTTGAATGTAGAAGACGAAGGCAGCTTTGACGATGGTGGTGACGAAGAATGCGACGACCATACGCACAGTCCCGGATGTACTGATGGAAGCTCGTTCTCGAGGAGCATGCGAAGGCTCACCAAGATGGGAGACGAAGCGAGGGCAAAGAAACGGGAGGCTCTGGAAGCTGAAGAGGAGTCCGACCTAATGGCAGAGCACGACTCGAATTACAACTTTGAGCAGGCTTTTCGGTCGTCACCAGCTCGGCAATCCCCCTGCTGCTACAATTACAAAGGCACAACTTACATATTGCCAAAGACCGATAAACAGAACCGTACCGTCAGAAACCACTGTCAAAGTGGTCGTCCGGAGTGGTACATTTGTAGGAAACCGGAGAGCCCTACGCCAGGTCAAATACAGCGCGGGCACTTCCTGAGCCCTCGGCACTTGACTTGAATATTACAGTAATGACGTCGAGAGGCCCAGTACAGAAGCTTCTCCACTTCGTGAACGTAGGGGTGATGGTGAACGTTATGAGATTCAACGCTCACCCGTATTTAAGCCTAGGGCCTTTGTTCGCCCTTCGGAACTAGAGACCTAGGGTCATCCGTTGCATTCGCTTTAAATTTAAACTTACTACATGTACCCTGCAGAAGCGGTACCGTCATTGTTAGCTACTTTTAGAGACTTTAAGAAGTTATTCTTTGTCACATCTTCTCGTTTGTTCTATTTCTATGATACGTGGCCCTTGTGTAATTAATTAGGGAGATGGATTCAAAGATTGACGATGAATGTATAAAACAAGAAAAAAAAGAAAATCCGTTTCCTAAATTTGTCGTGCAACAAAAATAATTTCGGAATGTCCCGAGTTCACCTCAGATCGTCTCTCCAGTTTTCCAGATCCTCATCTTTCATGAACTACAAATTACAATAAGTCCGACCGCCTTATTTTTTTCTAGCAGCGTCTCAAAGAAGAAGTTCCTCATAACGTATAGACGTAGCGCTAATCAGACCGGCGAAGAACGCGGAGGCAAATGCCTTGATTTACTGCGGAAAGCCATGTGCTCTCTGATAACGCGCCCGCGCTCTCATATATGCACAGTCCGCCTCTTCCACTTGTCTGGATCTGTCGCCCTCCATGATCGTGCTTGATGAAGACAGACCGGATGTCAAGGGTGCTCAGCCGCAACCGCACACTCGAAACGCGACGACAGACGGATTATCTGAGGACTCGCAGCTCGTTTCCGGTTCCGCACCTCCGCCGGCTTACTCTTCCACGGTCTATGATGCACCATTACAATACCCGCAAGATGTTCCCGCCCATCCCCGATCACGACTCATACGCGGAGAGAATGCGAGGAAGAGATTCCTTAGGGCGTTCGTAATGGCGATCTGCATTTGGATTTTGGTCTCGATCCTCATTCGGAGTTTCACTGTTAACGTAGATTTACACCGCGTATGTTTTCCTTGGTTTTTACTCACATTTTGTACCGTCATACTAAATTAGAGATGTTCACCTAGAATAAGAACTCAAATCATAAACAAACTGGCGACGAAAACAGGAAGCCTGGTTCTGACAAGTCAGATGGGAAAGACTCAGACTGGCGCATACGAACCCCGCGATGTACTCTTCCTAGTCAGTATCCTTCTCGTGATGGCGACTCTTCCCAGGATGCACCATACAGTGTCAAAATCGGATACAGCCTCTCAGTCTCTTCCAACTTTTCATTCATTGGCAACGACACGTATTCTCACGGATCGTTCATCATTGCTGCATTCGAAGAGGAACCCAGTTCATCAAATGTCAAAGTTGATATTGTCGTATCTTATCAGAACCCTGATGCAGTGCGTCACTCGAAGATATGCTTTACCGAGGAGGGAACGGACCGCACGATTGCAATTACGGCGAGTCCTTATGTTTTATGTCGGTATATTACAAGCATTTTAAATATAATTCCTATGATAAGAGGACAAATGATGCTGATGACCTACCGTCAAATGCCAATATTCTCCGATACAGTGTACATGTCCGATTTCCGGTACCACCACGAGAAGAGAGACCGTTGCATATTTCACGACTGACGGCGAATTTCATGCTATTCGGTATCGGCACAACTAATCTGAATGGGCTTGTGGAGTTTGATGACATTAACTTGAAAACCGATTATAAAAATATCGACGCTGAGGTTTGTACGAATTTTCTCGAGATGTCTTTGCATGGTCGGACTTACTGAACCCCTTGATCATTTTTTCACCGGTGCAAAAATATTGGATTATAGTCTTTGACGGCGCACAGAGCCCGGTTAGAGACGTCTCAAGCCGCCATCAAGGGCACCTATACCACCTCATCTTCTCTTGAGCTCCTGACGAAGAACGGTCCAATCAATGTCGACATAAATATGCTTAATCCGGGTACCAATGCCAATGCTACGACAAAATCTGCAACGAAGCTCACCATGCACACCTCAAACGCGGCTATTAAAACGAACGTTAACGCCACTTCTTTGACCACATCGTCGTCGGTCGCTGATTCCATTGGAGGGAACTTCACGATCGACAGTGCAACCTCATATGCACCACTTATCCTCAACCTACATTCTCAGCCAATTTCTTCTTTCCTTTCCCTCTCGGCACGTTCGTCCAGTGCGACCGCGGAAGTACACCTACCGCCGCAATTTTCCGGGACGTTCAACGTAGCAACCAGCGTACTACGTCCCTCACTAGAGGTATCCCCTATACCATCCGATGAAGACCCAGCGCGTGCAGGGAGGTGGAGAGAAGTGGAGGTGACGAAGGAAGAGCATTATCGTCTGGCTGGAGAAGTGACGTGGGTTGATAAGCGCGGGCGAATGGAGCGAGGAGGTGGGCATGTGGATGTTGAGACGAGCATACTTCCGGCGATTTTGAGGCTTTGAATGATTCATGACTCGAGGGGATGTTGTTTGCGGTTAAAGACGTCTTCAGATGTTTTCCAGTTTTTCTTCGGTCAATAGTCTTTAACGATGTAATTCCGTTTTCTTACGTGTTATGCATTGCACACCTACTTGTTGTATTATAGTCGATTCAATTCAATCCTCCGACATTTCACTGAACTTTCCGAATGAAGCTTCAAAAATAAGTGAGGATTCTTATTTAATATCCACAAATACACATTAGGCAAGCTAAGAGTCAATGGGGCTAATTCATTTCTGTAAAATATTTGCATATAAAACAAATCAAAAGGGCAAACAAGGAACCAAAACAACTCCACCAGCAGGATTTGAACCTACGCGCACAAAGTGCATCAGATAAATGACATAATAATTCAAATCTGACACCTTAACCACTCGGTCATAGTGGAAACTAACAAAGGAAACTTATTAATTTCTATGGAGTAAGTTAGAATACAAATTACATGTGCAGATTCTATCCCCAGACAGAGTATAAGTACATAGAATGCTACAGAATCATACAGCTTTATCTGAAAGTCCTGTAAGGATTATGATAACCTTGCTCATTCTTAACTATCAGAGTTGCTATATACTTTTATAGTGTACTGTGTCTTGTTTTCTTTAAACAGTTTCTGTGTTAAGAAGTAATTAAGTAAAGACAAAAGTCATATATATCATGTACTTTTATTCTGGCTTATATTATACTGTCTATTAAAGGCTTTGAACAATGTTAGAACACTACAACTAGTATAAATGAGTACAAAATGTATGCAATCAGAAGTGAATATACTTAACAAGAAGCTAAAGGATGGCAGTATTGACTGATTCCTTTGTAAGAATTTTCCCACAGATATGATTTGAAGAATACACTGGCTAATTATAAAATGATAAAATTATTTAGGGCTCAGTAAGGTTCTGCTAACAATGCTTTTTTGATTTCATTGATAAATACAATATTGTAAGATAAGATGACAACACTACAGAATATCTAGCTTAATTAATTACATGTAATTTGTTTCATCAATATTGTCCAAGAACCAGTGTGTCATAATCTCATCCTGTTCTTCTACTGATGCGGCCACCGCCAACGCATTCTCCTTCAGCTGCTTGCTGCGCGCCATGGCCTCGTCGTAATGTGTAGTAAACACCCAGCCCTCCGACTCGAAGCCGACCATGGCCTGCAACAACTGAAAAGTCTTGTCTGATTCTCTCTGCACTGCGTCCAGCTTCATTGTCTCACATACATCCTCAGCGTCGAACACGACTGGACATGGTACACCTCCTCTGTTGCTTCTATCAGTGCAACCTTCAGTGCAAGGGTCTCACCCTCCCACGGGTCACCTGCGAGGTAGAAGAGGCGGCGGAGGGACATGCCTGCAGGGTCTGTCAACGCTGCATAGTGGAGCTCGTTGCACTCTGCCGTGTTCTTGACATACTGGTAGTGGACGAGACGGCGACGGTAGAATTCCTTCGCTTGAATTTGCTCAGATTCGTTCAACTCGCCCAAATTCTCTGGTAGCGAAGGTGGCATGAGAGGCTGCGAGGTCTGGTCTTCGGCGTTCTGCAGCCGATCTGGAATACCGGCGAGGAGAAATAGGGGTAGGATTGAGGTGTGTTGCCAGTCGAGAAGGCCGACTACTTGCCAGCCAGACTCTGGCGACTTCGAGACAAAGATATTGCTCTGCTGGAGGTCGGGATGGCGAATGTGGAAACCACGGAGGGTTGGATTCTTGGGAATGAGTGACAACACGATGAGGAGATAGTGGTTGAGATTCGCGATATGGTCTGACGGCGACTGCTCCTTGTACCCGTAGCCCTCCCTCCTTAAGCGCTGGAACGGCAGTAGCGGTTGGCCGAACTGCTCCAAATACGCCAGTTCCTTGTGCGCTGCTCCTACAAGCACTGCCTCAGCGCTTTTGTCTATAGTTATCAGTCAGTTCAAGAGAGTAATAAATAAAAAAAAGGACTGAGAGCAGCGTACAGGGTCCCCGGTCTACGTTGAGCTGTGATCTCCTGCCGTACCACAGAGTCAGTCTGGTATCTGGACCAACACAGAAGCGCTCGTCCTTGAGCGGAATGGTTGCCCTCCCAGACACCTTCTCCAGGTCGTGGGAGTAGTAGAGGCTTCCGCTAGCCGGAAAAGAAATCGACATCATTTGAGATTCAAGTTGAGCAAGCTGGTGCAAGATTGAGACGATATCCGAGTCTCCCAGCTCAAGCCATACGTCGCTGAGTTTCGTACCTTTCATCCATTCCATAATTATGTACTCGGTCTTTGCTGCGTTTTCTGATGTAGGTGAGTATCCGTATACCTGGGGAACAGGCAGTCCAGAAGAACGGAGGAAGTCCATAGTGGCAACTTCGCTGGCGACAGCGTAATACTTGGGGACCGTAACCGGGTACGGAATACGGGCGACCATTTGGAAACCGTCGCGCAAAGTAATGAGGAAGGTACGGTTGAATCCCCCCTCGGCGAGCTTTGAAAAGTTGATGACATCAGCAGGACTTCGACCAACGGACTGCGCTGCAAGTTGACATAGCCCCTCAACATCGAAAATGAGCCTCCGCTCTGCGTGGCGAAGAGCATCGTTGACACTGAATGTGTAAGTTTACAATTAGACAAATGCACGATAGAACAACATGTATAAGACTTACAGCCATCGTCCTGACGTATAGTTAAAGAGGTCGCTGGAAGAGTGTTGCATGCTTGAGAAAGTGCGACATGGCGGATGCCAATGGGTCCGAGTGGAGTTGGAACTTGGGGAGGAGAAGTGTGACGAACACAGAAAATAGAGAGGACGGCGCAGAGACTGAGACTGAGACTGAGACTGAGACTGAGACTGAGACTGAGAGATTGGAACTGCTAGCGAGTTGATGATGAGCCTTGTGTTCCTGAGGCAGGACATACAAATATGTGTGGAAGGGTGGAAGAGGGATCGAACGTAAGAAGCCAACTAAGCAGCACAGGGACTTAAAAAGAACTTTAAAGAAGAGATAGTGCATCTCGCGAGCCACAACCGTCCTTGCTTAGCATGTGTACCGCCTTGGGTGCTATACTAAACCAGAATAACGATTGTACTTAAGGTACACGAAAGTTAAATTCGACAAGCCATGTCACGTCACAGTCACAACCCTCGCTTACCCGATATGGAAGGACCCTGCGGCCAAAATCGTGAGCTTCACCAACATCACCAGAAGCCCCTTGTGGACAAAAGCTCAGAAGTGACAGAGATTACATATATTCAGAGGATTTGAGCTTATAAGATTTAAATTAAAGATATTTTTATTTAATTTGTGCTCTATTCAAGTTGTGAAGCTAAATTTCAGTAGTAGGCTTTGAGCACTAACACGTCCTATTTGCATTATAAATACTTGATTAGTAATTTTATTTGTAATATACTATATTTAGTATAATTAGTCATGTTATATTATTTGTCAGTGGCCAAAATCTACTCGAGAAAAATTCAATTTTTTCTTTACTTCACCAAATGAAAGTAAAATAGAAAATAAGCTGTTAATTATTGAAAAAGTTGAGATTGTTATAACTTTTCCATTTTTCGTAATTTTGAAAATCCGTTCCACAGAAATGTAGAGGATTGTATCTGCTACATTTCTGTGGTCTTACATTATTGATTTTTGCTTTGTAGTGGGACGAGTTTCGTTGCCAGTCTGTGAGCCAGGAAAGGAAGTTAGGGTTTGATCATGTGCGTCACACTGCTTGTCGAGTTTAACTTTCGTGTACCTTACTTGAACAGGACAGCTTATTAATCAATACTACTTCTCAGTCCCAACACTTGCTGTCTTTGGACTTTTGTCCCTAACCTAACCTTACCTACAGTTACTTGGCAAGTTTTGAGAAAGACAAATAGCAGCGACTGTAGCTGTTGTATGAGGCTGAGAGAAACACGCTGCAGTGGTAATAGGCAGGCCTGGCCCTCATGTAGGACATGCGCCTTCATTTATAGAATATGAGAAATTGAGATAATTTGATAGTAGTCACCTGTAAGAGGTAGTTGAAGTTATCATTTCGGAGAAAAACACATCTATTGGCGACAAACAGTAATACAAGGCCTTCAATGCATACAAAGTTGGCGTCACGCAATCTAAGATGATTTGACTCTAAATGATCTCAACTCGGATCCTCTAAGGCGTCGCACGACCAGGCCATCTTGGGTATAGCGAGCAATCACTACAGAAAATAAAACGATATCTGAATAAGCACAAGAACAGAAGGGAAAACGAAGTGAGGAATTCTTACCGCACAGTGTATCTATCAGCCAGCCAAGCAAGGAAGCGCTGTGAGACAAAAAAAAATACGATAAACGGAGTGGATTTATGAAGCGAAAAAAGGTGGAAGTTTACTTCAACGCCAAGTCCGTATCCTCCGTGCTCGCATGTTCCGTACTTCCGTTGGTCGGTGAACCAGTAGTACGAAGTTGGGTCGATGCCTTCGCGCTTGTACGCTGCCATGAGCTCATCATGATCGGCAATCCTCATCGAGCCACCTAAGTATACGAAATCAAGAAAACGTCGGAAGCGTTCGAGACAGAGACGGATGCTCTTACCAACGATCTCGCCAACACCAGGCATAAGTAAATCACAACTCTCCGTAAATACCTTCCCACTCTCTCCAGTCCCAGGTATCTTCTTCATATAAAACGCCTTCAATTCCGCTGGGAAACCATACAAGAACACAGGTACACCGAGGATGTCCGTCATTCGACGTTCAGCCGCTTCGGCGATGTCGTCGCCCACAGCGTGATCAACCATGACTGGTTTGCCTTCTGCGTCGCGGATGACGTTACCCTCTGCGTCCTCCTTTTCGTGCTGGATCCCGTGCTCGTTGAGCCAAGCGATTGCGTCGGTGTATGCGAGGCGCTTGAAGGGACGGGAGGGAGGTTTGAAAGATGGGTTGAGTTGTTTGATGAGTGAGGCGGATTCGGGGTCGGCGAGGAGTTTGTCGACGGTTGAGCAGATCTGAGAAAATAAAAGATATATTAGTTTTGATCCCTTCAGAGAAACGTACTTTTGTGGACGGTGACTTACAATGGCCTCTATGTGTGTCATAAGGTCATCAAAGTTTATGAACGCAAGTTCACCTTCTAAATGTGTATATTCGCTCAGATGACGTCGGGTATGGCTGAAGAAACGCATATAAGTAAGTTTATCAATCCTCACAGATAAACAAAAGCCAACCTGTTCTCCGCCCTGAAACTCTCTTGCACACAGAAGACGTCACCAATCGAGGGTAAACAAGTCTCAAGGTATAGTTGTGAACTCTGAGTCAAATACGCGGTCTGTCCATAATAGTTGAGTGCGAACAGCGTCGCGCCTCCTTCAACAGAGGTCTGTACAAGACATGGTGGAGTCACTTCAAGAAGGTTTTCTTCTATCAGGGAAGCGCGAAATGCGCTTAAAAGATGTGAACGCAGGCGTAACACGCTTGACGCGGTTTCGCCACGGATAACGAAGTGGCGTAGCTCAGCGAGAATAGAAGGATCTGATTTCTACAACGCACTGTGAGCCGATGATATCTAAATAATAGTAGCTTTGAGATTATACCTCGTTGAACCGGTTGGCAAATGCTTCGTCGCCACTTGGCGCTGCACCAATGACTTTCCAATAGTCGACGACGAGTTCGTGGCCTCCAGGGGCAGTCTTGCCTTCCGGGAGTTCTTGCAGCGTACCAGTAAGCTCGACACTTGACTCCAGAGTTAGTGTGAGAGCCTCGTATGTTTGACTCTATGCGCATACATGCATATATGCATCAGATAAGCGAACGATGCAATCGTGGCGGAGCTACATACCGTTTGTCCGGAAAGCACGGCTTGTAGGTATCCCGTCCCATCGCGCAGTACGATGAAGATGATGCCCTTCTGTTGGCGCAGACGATGTATCCAACCCGCAACCCGAACGCGTTTTGAGCGCAGAGGCGGTAATTTGTTTATTTTGGCCTTTATTCAGAAGTTCGATTAGTAACAATGAGGGCTCTGCTCGACGAATAGGACACACCTTGATAGCCTTAGGAAGTGACGCATCCTCGACGAGCACGATCTTCTTGCTTTCTTCAAGGCGTTTATCTGCCTCTGCACGTTCCCTCGCCTCGCGCTCTGCGATCTCTGCCGCTTTCGCAGCTTTCTTGCGCAGACCATCCGCGTTTTTCTTTGCCTTCTTCAACGAGGAATCTGTTGGCTTATCGTAAGGTGTTTCGCTATCCTTGCGAATTTGTAGCTGCACGTCAGGCGAGTCATGCTTGAAGAGCGCATACGCGAGGGTCTTGTATGGGGCGTTCTGCGTGCCACTGCCGGACTCATCGCTGCCAGTCGCTTCATCGATGTAGATTGATGCCATTGTGGCTCACAGGGAAGAGAGAAGGTGAACTGTGAGCTGGCAGAGAGTGTGTGAGCAGCGGCTGTTTATGACTCGTCTGCTCTTTTTTTTCGTATCAGCGATCAGCACTTTACTTCTTACCATTCTCATTCTCACTCGGACCTTTTCGCCTCCCCTTCTCTTGAATATACCGTTGCAATGTTCTGTGTGATTGGGCTTGGATTGTACGATGAAAAAGACATAACAGTTCGCGGGTTGGAGGTTGGTAGACAAATTTAACAAAATCGATTTCGTCCAACACGGCTTATCCAGACAGGAATTTCATTCAGATAGTCAAGAAATCTTCACGAGTATATCTTGAAGCATATACCAGCATTTTGATGGTACCGAAGGAGAGGCTGGTAAGTTCGGAGTTGTCTCGTACCGGATTTGGTCTTTACTGACCATACTGTGCAAGGAAGAGTTCTATGGTCGACCAGTAATCGTCGCAGACAGGGAGATGGTGGAACTGCAGAGCGACGAAATCCTACGTGACGCCGACAAGGAGGATGTCTCGCTATTGGTCGTTGGTGATCCATTCGGGTGCGTACTAACTGAATATTTTCCGTGTTTTAAGCTTGTTCATTCATGGTTCGCATCATAGCGCAACAACGCACAGCGACATGCTGCTTCGTGCACGAGCACTCAACATCCCTTCCCGAGTCATTCACAACGCTTCTATCATGAACGCCATCGGTGCTTGCGGTCTACAATTATACAACTTCGGACAAGCTGTATCACTCGTGTTCTTCACGGAGACATGGAAGCCCGATAGTTTTTACGACCGAATCAAAGAAAACGCGAACCTTGGGATGCACACACTTGTACTTCTAGATATCAAGGTCAAAGAGCAGACGGAGGAAAACCTTATCAAGTCAGTTTATACTTCGTTTTCTCGGTTTTCTCTCATTCACCATCATTGTCGACAGACGGCGCAAAATATACGAACCTCCACGATACATGTCTATCCCGACTGCAGTTTCTCAGTTACTAGAGGTTGAGAGCACTAGAAATGAAGGAGTGCTAGCAGGAGATTCGACGCTTGCCATTGCGATGTCACGCGTGGGAGCACAGACAGATGGCGAACAACGAATCGTATGCGGCACACTTGCAGAGCTCGCTGCTCAAGCCAGCAGCATATACGGAGAGCCTTTGCACAGTCTCGTCATAGTCGGAAAGAGGCTACATCACATCGAAGTCGAGTTCGCGGAGGTCTTTGCAGTTAACAGGGAGAACTGGCGGAATGTCGCCCAAACTGTGTATCAATGTAACTTGGATTGAAGAAATGAAGAAATGAAGAAATAACGTTATGATATCACAAGGACAAAGCCTCTCCTTGAGCGGATTATTATTCTCTGCATTTTTGCTGAAAGCGGCGCAGTCCGAATCAGAATGCCCTTTTCAGTGTTATTCATGCGAAATGCCACCTTGACATCGACTTTGTGCCACACACAAGTATGCAAGCGCGTCAACCTCAACCACTGGACGAGTACGTGAGATTAATCATCTATCTTGCAGTGGTGAGTTCGTTAACTGAATCGTACCAGAGTCGTAAAGGAGGAAGGTTCGCAGGCTACGCTTATTCCGTGCGTTCTTACTCTTTCCACGTTTTTGTATTTCACTGAGATTATGCTGTTACATTGTCTTGATTTAATAAGAAATGATGATGCGACAGCAGGTTCTCATGCCATAGGCAAGAAAATTGGCCTTTCACGCCACTATACTCGCCTGTTCATTGACGAAGACGGGGAAGCGCCAGTGGCACGGTCACGCGACAAGGTAATTGTGAAAGCGAGAAGCATCGGAAATGGCTACGAGACTCTACTAGTATCGACGAAATCGATCATTCATGCACTCCAGACTAGCGAATTTGGCAATCGCATTCGAGGACGTAAGGTGCTTGTCTTTCCTTATCCAGAGTGGCAGGGACAACCTCGTACTCTGGCTATTATTGGTGGTGGTGACCTCGCTTTGGGAGGTGATTATGTTATACTTCAAAGCGTAGACTCTGGAATTTTTTTGAAGTTTATCGGCGAACCGGTATGTCTGTATTACGATGAATGAAGGTAAAGCAAACTAAAGCTGATTATTATATTCAATTACACAGCCTCGCCATTTGCCCGGGATGGCATTGCATGCGGCGCCCATGCGAGATGAAGCACGCCGTGGACCAGGTCCTCCAGATGCGGGGCGTAGCCAGTTGGAGGCGCAAGCGCCTGAGATAAAAAAGCAAATACGCAATCCGCCCTTGGCTCCTGGACATCGTGGTGGCTTTCAGTATACACAGCTCATGGCGGAACTCCCCAACGAACTACCAGAGAAAGGAGCAAACGAGGGCATCCAGGACTACTTGGTTCGCGTGGCGATTGTAGTTGGTTTACAACCGTCTATACGAGAGATCTTCGCAGACTTACAGAGCTGGGTCAGACGTTCTACTCGGTTTGAGGCTTTACTGACTGCTCGAGTGTTCCGGCTGGTGTGCTACCACAAACGTGGGGTGAGAAAACGTTCCATATATACGGCACAAATTTCCCTGATAGTTTGACTTTGTCGGAATGCAGGGAGCGAATCTCAAGGACGTTGCAAGAAGACTCCATATATCGGATAGCTTACTTTGTCGCTTTGCTCAAAGCTATGTGATGTGGAGACATGCTGTTGCAGAACGAGATAGGGAGAATGAAGAAGACATAAAGTCAGATGCTTGGCTAAACGGGGCTTGTAGGAGCGTTTATTCACTCACCAAACCCCTTGAACCTCGACGTGTCAAAATTGTGTGAAGTCTTCTGTTGCTTTCTTCGGCATACGCTATTTTCCATTCTACTTTCTTGAGTTAAGGTCATACTACTGGAATGTATTCCATTAATAAAACGTTGGAACTCGAATTCTTAATACATCCTTAAAGACGATGAAAGGAGAAGAAGGAAGATTCTTCCGTTCCAAGGAAAGAATTTATTACAGACCTCGTATCAATTTTTGGTAACACTTCATCTTGTCATGGAGAATACGCTTGACCGAGCTTATTTATTTAGCAAGTTAATCGCTTGGAGAGTGTACTTGGGTACTTCTTTCCCTGTATAGTATACTGCTGTTTATTCAGGGCGGTGCAACATTGAAACATTGAGATATGGACTCGAGGGCAGGACGTGTTGATATGTGGTAAAGAAAGCTTTGAAAACCTAGTAATACAAGGGACAATAGCCAATATAACGCCTGCTATGCAATGCGTACGCTACAGAATCAACGTATGCTCACATACACGAAACTTATCATCAATGCTTCAGTTTTTCTTATTATCTATCCGACAACTCTGGTTGTGACTATACAAGAGAATCAAGTGCTTCTTTCAAGACCGAAATAAGGGTCGCGACTTCTTCAACCGTATTATAATGCACCAACGAGATGCGCACAACGGCATCATTTATGTCAATCACAGGACGAAGGTTCTCAACAAGAGAGTATGAGTAAAAGTGGCCATAACGAATGCCCATCTGAACGACAATATACAATGAGCAAACCGTACATGAATGATGTCAAAATAACAGCGTGTACTAACCTTTCCCTTGCGATCAAAGTGTGCGACGATATCTGCGCTTCGAACGGGTCGGCGTTCACCTACGACGACAAAACTAACTGTTGGTGCACGCCATTCGTCCACTTTCTCGCTTCCAACAATCAGAACTCCCTTCTTCCTCGCGTCCTCACTGGTCAAATAACCGAGAAGAGGCATTAGCAACTCTTGTTCATGGGCTGCAATTCGCGCGAATGCGTCGTCGACGTCACCAGAAGGAGATAGTGACTGGAAGTAAGGTAGTACGGCGGAGACTGCGTAAGTAAGCTCGTAACCGGCACCACCTGGGCTGAGTTTGTAGGCGGTGTTGTCGACACGTAGAAAGTGGTGCGTCAGTGCGCTGCAAGAATTGGAAGTTGCATCTTGACGTGCATAGAGTGCACAAATATGAGGTCCATACACCTTGTGATATTTGTTAGTTTACACAGGAGAAGTGGAGAGAAAGCTTGCATACTTTGTAATACGAAAAGAAACAGTAATCAATATCCCACTTCTTCACGTCGATCCTCCTGTGCGGCGCGTATGCAACACAATCAATGCATACTTCTACCTTCCGCGCGCCGTGTTTCTCAGCCTCAGCTCGGATTGCCTTCACAACGTTCTCGACATCGACGATCGTGCCGAGGATATTCGAGCACGCAGTGAATGCGATGAGACGAGTCTTACTTGTAATGAGCGGAAGTAGAGTATCTATAGCAAGCTCGACTCCGTAAGGATTATTCGGTGTCAGAGGAGAGACTGTGTGTGGCCAATTCTTGAGAACGAGTCCTCGACGGGCAGCTAGTTTCTTCCATGGGCCGGAATTGGCTAATAAAATTTCGTCAAAGCTAGAGCACATTATATGAAAATATCTCATGTACCTTCATGTTCACCAGTAACTATGATCTCTTCGTCATCAAATACATCCTTATCCAACGCTCGAGCGAGATTTTCACCAGCTTGAGTCGAGCTAGATGCAAAAGTTATTTCATCCGGAGAAGCGGCGTTGATGAGTTCTGCTGTTGCAGCTGCACCGTCCGCAACGCGGTTCGTGCTCCTTACAGAGATGTCATAGCTAGCACCTTAGCGTATTATTCATGAAAATGAATACTGCCGGGTGGAAACAGAAATCGTTTAACTAACCAAGCTGAACATTCGTATTCAAGAGGTAGTCTGAGATGCGAGCGGCAACGGACTCAAGACATTGAGAACCACCGGCATTGTCTGCAAAGATATAGCCGTCTTTGAGAGAAGGAAAGCTCGATCGAACTTTATCGATGTCCAAAGTAGACGTCATGATGGCTGAGAACGAAGAGTTTTAAGCTGGCTAGTTATAATGAGGACTCGACTTAGTGATTAGCACACACTTCTGGTCGTCGTACGTGAGAGATTGGGACAAGGTAAGAGTCCATAGTGATCGATAGAGAAATAGCAAGCTTCAATGAGTTCGCGTGGAACGAGACACCAGATGCAGTCATTTGAGCCTGTGTTCGGGAGAACCGGCGCGGAATATTCAGTCTTGAATCGGCACGTGCTCTTAGAATTGACATGCCATTTTAGGGCGATTGTGCTTAATAAATATCGCATGCACGTGACTATACTGGGATTCCAAAGCTACCTCGATAACCGAACTTCTAATTAATTGTCTCACAACAAGCTCGAACGTGATGGAACCCGGAAGGCTCTACAGTAACAATACAGTTCGGTGAACACACGGCACTGCGGTCGCTGCGGTGCGCAGTGATACTCACGACGACTGCGCGACTCCATGTGCTGATCTTCTGCAAGTCTGAGCGCTATTTACTTGCCCCGCGCGGGTAAATATCCCCTTTACCGCCCTTTCCTTCTTACCATTATCATCGTATCCGAGCGCAGCCGCAGAACGTAGTGCGGAGCTATTTAGACTGCCTCGATAACCTGAGAGGATGATAGTCAAGGACAGCAATAGCAACATGACTGTCGCTGCCAGTTCGAAGAGCAATTACGCTCCTGTTTCTTCGCGAGCGGATATTAATGCTGATACTATGGCTCCGCATCCATCGTCATCGCCTCCGCCTAACTACGATGCATGCCAAGGTACGTTCAGGTTGGGAGCCGAGCCTGCTAGACGGCGGTTTTGGCGGGCATTCGCTGTTGCGCTTGTCTCTTGGTTCTTCTTGAGCATGTTTGTGCACGGCATTGTCAGGCTTGCGCTCGTTCATAGAGATCATAAGCATGGGGTGAGTGTGATTATGTGACTCAATATACTTGACAGTATTGTCTACTTCATTGAGATCGCGAATGATGTCACATTCGCATATTGCCACTGTTGAATCATTTTATTTTTAATTATGCAGTCTATATACTACCCCTCTGCCCTTTCCCTCTTCACATTTCTTTATTATTGAGTTGAGACTGTAGATCTCCATTGTACTTGCCGTTGCTAACAAAACCTGACCACTCAATTTTTAGGGCATCGCAAAGGACTATCCCGAGTTCAAGAAAGGCGAAATCATTACTTGTGCAGGTGGTCCAGACTGGCCGGTATCGGGAAGTGTAAACGGAGAGCATAAAATGTCTACCTCTTTTCCGCGACCCCCGTACCAGTCAAGGAAATCCTTCCTACTTCCTGTGGATGCAGACCATCTGTATTTCCTCTCGCGCGGTTCACTTGCCTCAGGCTCCGTCCGCTTCGAACTCTCCTCAGACCAATCCAGTGACAGCGTAAAAGTCGACGTCACTGCATCATACTGGTCCACGGGCGCACTTGACCGCGCATCTGTATGCTCTCTTCAGCGACACGGAAGTAGCAATTACTATGGCGTTGGCATTTTCACCCCGCGTAGGTGGCGTGGTGGGTCAATGCGGGATAGGTTGCAATTTGATGTCGTCGTACACCTTCCGCCACGCGTGTATGCGGATTTGCAGACCAGCTACGAGAACTTCTCGCTGTATGTTGGGGATCTGCAGGGCATGGTGCAATTCGAAAACGCTCATCTGACAACGTCTAACTCACATATTACTGCTACGGTATGATCTTATTCTCGTTCGTATAATGGAATAAGCCGCTAATGCCATTATTTCAGACTTTCGAAGCGCATAAAGGCGTACTGAAGTCATCGAACGGCGCCATTACAGGAAAATATAATGTTACGAAGAGTCTTGAGCTCATCACTTCAAACGCAAGGATCACGGCGGATGTCGACATGCATAGTATCGACGACTCGCATGCTACTTCTCTTCTTCTCAGAACAAGTAACGGGTGCGTTTTATTTGCATCGTTTCGCCATGTATATACGAAAGACTTGCTGACTTTCTTCCATGCAGACACATCGACAGTAACCTTAATCTAAACGGCCAACCCTACCTGAGCTCCTTCGCAGTACAATCCATCACCTCCAATGCACTCTCCCAAACTCACGTCAACTCACACCCTCATTCCACGGCGCTCACACTCGACATGAAGACATCAAACAACCGAGCTCGTGCTGCAGTTCAACCATCTTTTGAAGGTCCCTTCTTCATGCGTACTTCTAACGCCTCACCAATGCTCACTGCTGGACGGGACGAGGAGGTCGAGGATCCGAGTGGTGAGGGTAGGGCACGCAACATACAGGTGAACCGAAAGGTAGGGGGATTGATGGAAGGCAAAGTTTGGTGGGGTGACTGGAGGAGTAGAGGGAAGGGATGGGTGCACCTGACGTCGAGTAATGGACAGGTGGAGTTGGATTTGTCAGGGAACCCAGCTTGGTAAAGCTTGCATAGATGGATAATTTGTAGGAGATTTGCGATTCCAGGGTTTTGTAGGTACGAAAAATGGCCAGACTTGCTAAGTTCACATTGTATGGTTGTTTCTTGCCTATCGAGATGAACATGAATTCATGTAGTGTCTAACAAAATCGAGTTTCATTTCTTGTGTTACATTAACCAGACCGACGAAAGGGTTGTTTCTTTCCTGCCTGATTAAAAGAAAGCATTAGACACAGTGCAAACAGAGTATTACATGTTGATACTATTTGATCTGTACAAAAAGGACCTGGTTCAGTCAGTCAGACATTAATTCATGACTATACAGTGCTCTAAGTTCTGCTTCAACTACTTTGTCCTGTACTATTGCATCTGTTATAGAGTTGATTGTAAATGTCCCATCATGAACAACACCACAATCTTTGAATTCGAGTATAATACTACTATTACTAGTGGTCTGAAGGTAACTGTAAAGGAAAAGCAGGACGTTAAACTGCACCCTTCTACACTGTATGAATTTGACAAGTTGTAGATGACAACCATCTGGAGCTGTACAGGATCCAATTGTTAATGTAATCCACATGTCACTGAAGTTAGTATTGGCCAACATTATTGTGATAATATCAAAGTGATAAGACACAAATTCAAAGACAGAGAAGGTATTAACACAGTTAGTGTATGCACCTCCATTAACCTTTATATCCAGTGTTTAGACAGATGGGTGAACCAGTTTGGTACACAAGAGTCTAAACTGAGCTGACCTATAGTTGTTTTGTTTACAATCAATAAACAACTCCTGTCTTTATAGTGTAGTTAGGCAGATTTTCTTGACAAAAATGTTTAGATCAGAATATAGTTGCTGATGTTTGGTCCTGGACCTAATGGACCCGGGTCGACCCTAGGACTGAACCTGAGGTCCGGGTCACAATAGGTCCGGTCCAATCAGGTCCAGAACAGGTTCAGTTCCGGGTCCAGGAAATGCTACATTTTCCTGGACCAGACTGGACCTTAAGGACTGAGGACTGGACCCAGGACCCATGTTTCTATTTTAATACAAGAACACCCAGTTGAGTTGACATATAATTCAGGGTGTTTACTCCTTACTTGATACATACATAAAGTAGTAGAAGTAAGTATTAAAATACAGTAGAATTAGCTATGAAGCTGTGGGAAAATGTACTGTAGTATTACAATTTACATATTTGGACTGGGTTGAACTACAATTTGCACTCTTTTTGCATAAGCTTTCTTCTTACACTTATGGACCCAGAAAGACCTGCTCTCTGTGCAGACAGTACTCTCAAGAACACTTTAGAGATGGAATGGCTGCATTCTCCAAGTGATGATGTTGTTTCACTGCCACCTGATCTGTAGGAAGTATGGAAGAGTGCTTCTGCTGGTAGTACTGCTGATAGCCACTCATGCTATAACATTCGTTGAAATGCTCTGTCCTCCAAGTACAAGGGGGCTATTGCTGTAGAAAAAAGAGACTTAGAGAACGACTCACCTGACAGTAATGAACCAAAGGGAGCTAGGAAGTGCAAGCCTGTCAAGACATCTACTGTTAAGAGTATTAAGAAGGTCAAGGTGTCTGAAGTACAGAATTCTAGACACTATTTGTTGTAGGATGCTTGAACTCCTCTACTCACATTAGGGATGCACCCTTGAGTCGACTGTAAGTATAAGTTCTACTGGTCCAGGTCATACCTGGACCGGACCTGGACTGGACCTCAGGTCCGGTCCAACAGCAGTCCACAAAGGTTCGGGTCCAGGTCCCTCCTTTACCCGGACTGTATGAAGAGGTCCGGGTTACAGTCCAGGTAAAGGAGGGATGGACCGGTCCAGAACCGGACCACGGCAACTATAGATCAGAAAGACACAAAAGGATGACATAAACTGAGATGTTCAGTGAGCTAAGGCTTGGATGGATTGATATTAGGACTTCAGAGTGGCTGCTTTGACAATCAATAGTGCAGTTTTTGACCAAATCAATAGGTAGCTCCTAGAGTTGCTGAGCCAAGTGTAGGAAGTTCACCACCCCTGATAAACAAACTTCACCCATGAAGGATAATGTGCATCTACTCAGGCATGCTCCTATACATGACTGTAGGATGAAGCTGGTAGACAGTACTGTAAGTAAGAGTATATCCCGGGTTTTCCAAAAATCATAAGAGTTGCCAGTACATAGAGTATACAGACATAGCAACCTGCACCTACTCATATAAAGCTTGATAGATTCAACTGTGTGATTGTCCCTTAGTTGTACTATGTCCAGCACCTGAAAGTAAGGAAGCAAGGACAGTATTGCTTCCAAAGACGCAGGCTCAATATAACCTCTCACAAGAGTCTTCAGAGATTGGTGGTCGCTTCGCTTTGCAATAGTGAGAATCTGGTCGGAAGGCCAACGAGCCTCAATCCAGTAATCTCTCCACATCTTTTGCAATGGTACAACAAGCGATTGGAAGCGCTTGCAGACATGTAATAACGTTACGGCGTTCACAACATCTGCAGCAGTGTACCACAATATGTCCAATAATATTTCATCCAGGAGCAAATTAAGACCGTAATTGAAGGAAGCCTGTAATAGCCAGACATTGAACTTTTTAATATATTGTCTGAGCTGCCCAGTCCTGGTGTCCATCGTATTCAGAAAAGAAATGAGCGAATCCAGCATATACACTGCTTGTGTACGACTCCTTCGCATAGACTGAAGGGTATTGAACATGTCACCGGTATTCTGGACTACTATGCTGCAAGCGAGCGGTATGTCAGATGCCATGATATTCTATATTATACACATACCGAGCAGAATTCACAGAAGTTTGGCCCTTGACCACTGTCACAATGGCTTCTGCAGTACGGTCTAGAGTGACGATAGTCCTGGAAAAGCTGTCGTCTTGACTTGTCTCTCCCGTTGGAGAGCAGTTTACGATAACAGCACTGTAACATTGTGATGAGCACTATAGCTGAATGGAGAAGATTTATACTTACTTTTCCGCGTTCATGGTTTTGATAGTGGTGGTAGGAAGTTCAGGCACGTAGAATCGACTCATTTCACGCTAAAGCAGTTAGCTTACATACTCCTGGTGACTTGAGCACGGACCAGGCTCAGATGCCTACCTACGAAACGGGTATTGCGCCCATATGAAACACGCGGCTGCAATGACTTGTCGCGCCCTGATGAAAATGTGAATGCTGGAGGCCAACATGTTCACACTATTGCATTGCGACAGTTATCACCCTGTGATGCATTCACAAGATGAATTCAACGAGGGAAAGGTATAAATACAACAAATAAATTCTACTAAGCAGTGGTTCTGAAACATCTGTGTCAGTACATGCTGTAGTCCTAGAAATAATAGGCAATTGGACGAACCTTTCTAATAAATATCCCAAAGATAGACCCGATGAAAACAGTAGAAAGGCACAAATACACCCCCAAAAAAATGAAAAGCACGACTACCTGCCGCCCTTGATTATGGGCGCTCCGGTCAACTCATCTCTTTCCTGTTCCCGTTCCCGTTCTCGTCCACCGTCATTTCCCTCTTCTACCCGTCTTTCGTCTTCCGATCCAACCGTGTCACCACCTTCGGGATTTGACGGCTTGTCCAAAATCGGTGTGTCGCCACATCCGCAATCATACGTCTCATCAAGATGAGCACAGTCGAATTCGGGTTTCTCGAGTCGTTCGTTGACTTGGTTGTGTACGTGGCAAAGCCAGAGGGCTGCTGCTCGTCTGGAGGAGGTCTAATCCATAAATTTATTTGTTGAACAAAGGATTTATAAGTTATTCCAACAGGTGAAACGTGCCTGGGGAGGGAACTTCTCCAAGAGTTTTTGGAATTCTGCAGCACACTCTCCGCAAGGATATAAACGTGCTTGTAGATGAAAGTATGATTCAAGAGCGTGTCTCTCGTCCTCTGTTGGCTCCTACAAACAATAAACAGGAGAGCTTAGAAGTTTGCTACGAGGGATTCGCAAGTGATGTACCTCAGGGAATCTGAGAGTCATAGTGTGCCTGTGTAAATGAACGTTAGTAATTTCGTAAACACGGTTCGTGTAATTCAATGTGGCCACATTTCGGACGGACTCACATTAACTTCCATGTTGCCCTCCCAAGAGCTTGTCTTCAAGAAATAGACGGTGAAATTATTAAACTAGGAATATTAACTACGAACAACGATACACACTTTGCAGTTTCATTCCCTAACTTGCTCATAATGACGCCACCATGTACCCCTTGGATCTCCTTCACACCTTCCTCCGGAGGGGGCTCGACCCATGCTGGTGGGCGCGTTGGTGGACGGTTTTCGATATATTCGTTCTGCACTCCTCCACTATCGAAAATATGTCCTGTATATGGGTCAAAGTATGTCTTCCTTGTCGGCTCATGGAACATAAGAAGGGTTGTGAGGATGACAAGAGCGACAACGACGAGTATGAATGTTCTTGTATATCTGGCCGGCAGCATCATATATGATTATATATGTCTTGGATTGTATAAAAAATGTCTAGAGGCGAGAGATGAGGAGCATTAGATGTAAGTTTGCAAGTTGGTGGGAGACTCGGATCCGTAACAAAGTAAATAGCACGTGACTTGCATGAGTGTCGATGCGAGGGCTCAGGCTGTGCTTTCTGGAAGACGACCGTGTTGTTGGTGGCAACAAAAAGAATATAAAATGGTATGTACATCTTTTGCATTTGTTCTTGGGTCAATCACTAAGGAATGGATTTGTAGCTTCCCCTCACTCTTTTAAATGCAGCGCAAAACCGACCTATGGTACGCAACTCTGGTGGCTGACGCGTCAAAAGCCCATTGCTAATTCTCCGCAGCTGGTCGAACTGAAAAATGGAGAGACTTTCAACGGGCATCTCGTCAACTGTGACAACTTCATGAACATAACTTTGCGTGAAGTCTACCAGACCTCTGCAGATGCGGATCGTTTCTGGAAACTGACAGAATGCTACATCCGAGGGAGTACCATCAAGTACTTGCGTGTACCAGATAAGTTACTGGATGAAGTGAAAGAAGAGCAGAGTCGTGCCCGTGAAGCGGGTAGAGGTGCTAGAGGAGGAGCAGGAGGCGGTGCGCGTGGAGGAAGAGGTGCACCTGCACGAGGTATTTTTTTTCAACTTGTGAACAATTTCACTTTTCTCATTTTGAATATAGGGCGCGGTGGGGCACGCGGTGCTCCTGCTCGTGGTGCAAGAGGTCGTGGTCGTGGAATGTGATCCACACAGTCCAGTGAGAATTACCTTTCGCCATTCGTACATCGTTCGTCTGAGTATATTCTACACTCGTCTCATATTCTGTATTTTGGTGAGCTTTTCGTTTATTAGCCACCACTTTTCGAATTGTTTGGCACCAGTCGCCAGAAGGACAGTGCTGAAAATGCAGATTGTCACTACCAGGTTCCTTTCTCTTCCTTTTTATAGAACCACATTCATCGTAATTGTTCGTCCATCTCAGCCGTACGCAATTCATTATATGAAATGTCGATGTACTTCCTTGAGGTGGCACATCGAGAATCTCAGCAGTGCCGTTCTTCTGCCAAGACACCGTGGCGTCGTTTGTATGCCTTACACGGAAACTTGTGCAATCACTACTCTGAGTATGGAGAACTTGTTGCCTCTAGCCTATATGTACCCGAGTCAGCGGCTGAACAGCGTCGAAAGGGCCCCCGAGTAATATCAACTGCTTCGGCGACTTCCTACCATTGTTCACAGTACCAAGAGGAGCTTATTCCAGTGAAAATAATTGCTTAGACAACGAATTATCTGGCATGCAGACGTATAGTGAGGAGATACTACATGCATAAGCACACAGAAGGTCCAGGAATCAATAGCTTTTGATATTGATGGAGTACAGACGTACCAAGTTTGGTCCAATGACCAAGGAGATACAATAAATTCTGAGGCATTTATAGGTTGTTTATGGTGTAAGAGGTGTTTGTCAAGTATGAATTTGCCTGAAACATAAACAGAATGATATATGATATCGATTAACCCAGGAATGATACACAGGAGCATTTTTATAAAGTGTAGCCTTGAGACTTTGTTGCAGTAAAAACTCTAATTTGGAGAGGCAGAAAGCGGGGTCACGTGCGAGAGTAAAGCCTTGTTTGCGTCTATTTGTGCTTCACTTTCACTTTCACAAATCATCGTGTCGTGCGTGCAAAGTGCATTGCCTTTGCAACTCACCGCTGCGAATGGCCATCGCGAATTCACCCTCGTAAATTGTATTTGCATCATGTTCAATTCACTTTTATGACAGGTACGTATGCAAAGACGCGCTCGGAGCCTGAGAGTCGTATGGTTTGCGCTCAGGTGACCGTTCAGCCGAAGTCAATTGATCGCTTCGCTCCAAACGAGCTCAAACTCCGTATATAAATTCATCCGAATGTCGAAGCAGAAAAAACTGTCAGCGCCTTTTTCATGTTGCTCACCCGCATCGTCTACTTGTTTGTCGGGGTTCAAGCTGTGGTGCCAGCTTGGGCTACTTCGAACCTCTCTTTCCAAGTGACAAGTGGAGGGAACGAAAACTATTTTCTACGGGATAACTTAACGTCTGCGCAGGTATTGCTTACAAGCGCAAACAGTTTAGCTTCATTGCGGAGGCTAGTCGTCGCCTTGCCGGCAGGCAATTCGGGAGTGCTGACGTATTTCTTGCCTTTGAGCAATTCGTCTTCGAATGACAGTCTTTCTGTGACAATTCAAAACGACTCCCTTACAAGTACATCTGAAGAGCTCAACAATGTCGGCATCCAAGGAAACCTCAGTTTTAATGCGAGTGCAACCGTTGGGGTAACAATCATTGGCGCTGTCCGAGCAATGCGAGGTTGGTTTATAATTTCTTCCAACGTCCTTATTCTGGTCTCGAAAATCTTGCTTTAATAGACTACGTCGAAGGTTCCGGTACGATGCACGAAATATTCAACTATACGCTCGCGTCATACAATAGCAGTAGCGTCCGCCTTCACAGGCAATGGATTAACGCAACGAGCAATGGTACATTCAGATCAGCAGACGTTTACTTGAATACTCTTTCTGGTGCCCAATTGAACGTTACTCCTGGAAACAATGGTACGACCGCTCCTCCGACCATCGACATACTCGTGGAGGAAGGCGGCTCCGGAATAATGCAGCTACGTGTTGTTACAAACGAGACGAGTTTGACTGGTCTAGCTCCCGAAGACCTCTTTTTATCTGAAGGAACTGGCAATAACTCGGCTTTGGACACGGCCTTAACCGGTCTCGCAGATGGTAGTAGTCCTGCTGCTCAGCAGGTAAGACAACTTCTGCAATTACTCGAGGAATGGAATATAATAGTGGATAGGTCTCTTTCCTAACTTATCATGATAAATTCACTGCTGGTGGATGGAGGTTCCTCACTGTACGCTTACGTTGGTTTTACAGTATTCTCCCCTATTAACAATCTTCACAGTATTTTGGAAGAGACTCTATGATTGCTCTTAGACTGCTAATGCCAACGCTCACCCCGAATGCCATTGAGTCAGCTCTTGGTGCGGTGATCGAACGTGTGAACACTACAGGTGCTCTTTGTCACGAGGAAACTATTGGTGAGTGGATGAAGAACACAGGAAACGCGATATTGATATTATCCGAATTCAGGCGACTATGCTTCGTTTGTGAGTTTTCATTAAACAACGGTGTTAATTTAGTTACATATCATTGCGTACCCAAGGTAAATATTGGTAACAGTAGGAGCGACCTCGGAAATCAACCCTTCTATGACTACAAAGTAAGCTTCTTTCTGTGAATTTGGCTTAGCCATACATACCTACTTCTTGAACGTCGCAGATGATAGACACAGGTAAATCCCTCGTACGGCATGTCGAGCCTAAATTTGACTATTGCGTAGATCTGTTCTTCCTTCCCACATTGGCACATTACTTCCTCGATCTTCCTCAAGGGAACAACACATCGTCTTCGTTCTTGGACAAGAATGCTACTCTGCAAAATGGCACGTACAGGGAACTCCTGAACAGGTTCGCCAATAGTACCCATCAACGTATTGTCCGGTGTATTTAGTGCAGAACTTGACAGGACAATTTTCTACAACCTGGGGCGTGCTATTCCCTTTGGACGGAACTCTACCGTTGCAAATCTTCTGGCCTTTCGACCAGGTCAACCAGTTGGAAACTGGCGGGACAGCAATCAAGGAACTGGATACGGACCCATTCCCTTTGACGTCAACACCGCTTTGGTTCCGGCTTCGCTTCGCTCAACTGCTCGGTTAGCGAAAGCCGGCATCATAGGCAACTCAGTTCCCGTTCTCACGCTAGAAGATGGGAGCAACTATGACGCGAACTCATCACTGGCGGACATAGCAGACTCGTTGGCAGCAGTGTGGGAAGAAAAATCTTTGCCATTCTTTGAAGTAACTCTGGACAACGAGACGGCCCAAGAACGTCTCCGCAACTTCATAAACGAGACAAATTTGAGCGAAGCGCTGCTTGATGATATTACAGACGTATCTGAAGCGAGTAACAAAACATTTTACGCATTATCATTGAAGGAAGATGGCTCTTCCGTTGAGGTTTGCCTTCTTATCATTTATTACTCGGCTATCAGTCCTGAGAGAAACACCGTCTAGGTACTCAACTCCGACATTGGCTTCAGCCTTCTGTATGGTAACAACGTGACACAGAGCTTTCTTCAGCGTGTCATTGAGGCACTGCAGCCATATCCACGAGGTCTCCTCCTGTCACCGCAACTTACGAATATTTGTTAATTCCGATGACTTTAACTTAGGTCTACTTACAAATATTGGCATGGTCGTCGCGAATCCGGCATACGACAGTAATACAACAAATATCGACGTCTTTAACAATGCAGCATATCATGGAACTGTCATATGGTCTGCTTCCACCTTTCTGTTTCCATTAGTTAATTAATTTCCAGAAAGGTCCTGGCAGCAAGGCATGATGGCTTCTGGTCTTAAACGTCAGCTTGGTTACTGCACGAATGCAACCAATTCGACAGTGGATACAAATCCTTCTCCAGCCAACACGCCAGAATGGTGTGGCAATACCACATTTGTCCAGAGCATTTCCGATGCGCAGCAAAGGTTGTGGTCTTCTATCAAAGGGGCTGTCGACGGTAAGTCTCGATAATCCGTCTATGCGATAACCGTCAGTCGTCCTCACTATCCACATGCCACAGAGATTTATTCTGAAGTTTGGACATATTCCTTTAACAATTCGACTAATACGTTTTCGGTTGCTGACCTGGCAAGTCTTTCCGGTGGTACGGAGTCCGATGCTATTCAACTCTGGTCGTACGGATTTTTAGGATTGCTGGATCCGAGTGGCGAAAGGATCGGCTAGTAATAAGAGTGCGATAAATATGTTGGACGAAGCTGAGAATATGAAACGCGGCTTCTGAGGATGCCGAATTCTGAATTCTTATCATCTCCAATCTGAATACGATTATTTTTTTTCTATTAAAGGCGTTTCAGTTAACAAGATCGTTTGCAAAGTTCTGAGCAATTCATGTTGGGCTTTTGAAAAGGCATTACTTGCTGTATCTTCTCTCGATCATTCTCTTGTATATTAAAGAAATGACCTATGCTTCTGACCCTCGAAATTTTAACCAGGAACCCGACGAACGCGCGTTCCGAACGCGGACGACGTTTCGTATGCGGATATGCGAAGCAACGAAGCAATCCCGGTCACCTCGCAAGCGGAGGCGAGTGTACACTAGTGAATGTTTGGTAAATTGGCCTATCGCCCTCGGGGTTAGTAAGACTTCGACGAGTCTAGTGAGTACCTTCCTATGATGGCGTTCCTATCGATTCGATATCTGTTAAATTCTGGTTAAATCTAGGGCCTGCCGGTGAAGAAGCTGTGAGAACCAGGCGAAAGAACTCAGCAATTCCACATTGTAACCCGGATCTTTCGTGATTATGGCGCCGAGATCGTGGAGCAGTCCCGCAGCTGGTGATAGTGAATCTTCAAGCTCATTGGCTCCTGACACTTTAAATCCGCATTAAAGAATTGTTGACTTCGGCTCGATCACATGGATCCGGTAAGCGTGATCTTCGAAGATTGACTACTCGCCGCACATTGACTTTGCCAAGGTCTTTTCTATGTTACAATGATCCTTTGCTGCGAACTAGCAAAATGCACATTGTTCATTTGCAGCTCGATCGACGTTGGTCATACTATTGTTTATAGGAGCCTCTTGTACTGAAACTATTCATGCCAGCCTTTGAGGTGATCCGCGGTATTCCTTTGTTTGCCATTTAAACACACTGAATGGAGGGGCGCCTATTAGGCTGGACAGGGTGCGATAATATCTCCGGCCATCAGGACCGACCCTAGGCATAACATCAATGTGCTCCTCACGCAATGAAGACAGCGTTTGAATCTGACGTGCATGGTTACCTCTTCACGCACACGAGGCACGGGCCTTCGTCTCTGCAGAGCGAACGTCCCGTTTAGCCGGCTCCATTCATTCCCGTATGAAGAAATCAATGAGGCAAGAAGATGTCACACAAGCACAAGGTATTATGGGATTTGGGCGGCCGATGTTTTGATACCTATCCGATCGAATTCACCGACACCATGATTCCTTACTTTGGCTTCTATGTATACGAGTTCTGCCGCTGGTTTTTCTCAGTATATAAGCACCTTGATACAAGCATCTAATGAACTCCCCAGCCAAGGCCATTCTCTGGGCGACTAAAACTAGCCCCCTCTACGTCGCCAATTTCTTCCAATCCAAAAGCAACGATCTTCCTCATGATTCGGTATCCCTCTGTCGCAGCTTCGGCTGTGACGCTCTTCGAGAGCACCGAGAATTACTCGTACCTTGCGGCCGCCATCCCCCACTTTAACGACTCACCTCCACCCGGCGGTTTGCCAGAGGCTTCAAGCAATCCTTGATGTTGGCCGATACCTCTTTACCCCAATCTCGTGATACCACTCGATTGTAAGCATCTGCTCATCACAATTTATTCGATATCTTACGTAGAGCCTCTAAGGTACAGGACATGCCTATTCTCTTCCCTACGCAACTTGTCGTATGAACACTGGCTTGTTATGGACATACTCCCCTTCACTTCTTGTACCTGTAATTCACAGTTCGATCTTTACGACCCATTCTACTCCACCCCCCTGCCCGCCTTAAGACCTATACTGTCAGGACTCTTTATGAACTTTATGTACTAGCCTTCGATGTTTTGTAACAACATATGTCGGTCTTTAATGTTGTAGCTCTCTATGTCATGCGATTTGACCTCAGTCCAAGGGAGCAACGACAACGGTGCGAATATCAAGATGAGGAAACAACGGGAGTATCCGAGATTAAAGACACGCCTAAACTCGTGTATCAATTGTTTTTGAAACTGGCTTCATGTGTGAGAGGAAGAGAGCATAACAAGGCATCATCACCCAGAAATTTCAATAATTTGGGGCCCGGTCAGGACAACAGAAATAATCCCGAGAAGCACGGTCACTGGTTACACCGAAAATAGGCTGAACATCTAAAACCTTGTTGCAGGAACTTTCACCGGTCGATCATGCTTCCCGGTCATCCACAATGAAGGTTATAAACCTGTCAATAATACGTGTACGTCGACCTACTTTGAGGAAAAGCCGAATGGTGCGTGGTCCGTAGGAGCCTTAAAAGGTATGCATTAAAAGGTACGAAACTGGTATGCAGGCCCGGGCCCTCCTGTATTTGTTGGGAGAAGGACACGAGGTTGAGATGCAGCACATGTAGTATTCTTCTTTCACTGCCCACAGGAATTCTTGCCAGCATTACTAAAGGTCCAGAAGTGGAGAAGACTGCGTCCCGAACGTCACGATGGGCCCACATGTGGGTTCTTTATTTGTGAAATAAGGACGGAGATGAGTGTGTGAATCCGCCGTTTAGAGGAGGTCTACGTAGCCAAGAGGGTGGTCGCAGCTTAAAAACAATTGGGGAGCGCAGATCAGGGAAGGTTAGGCGAGTCAATAACGTATGCACGGACCGGACATAGCGATTGTGACGAATACTGCGTCACTTGTTAGCCACATATTATACTCCACCAAGGAATGACGTACGTAACGTGGCCTCGAGAAAGTAAGCTGAGACCAAGTCAGATGTAGGGAGACTTCAATATTAATAAATTCTGGACATCTAGCCACTTCACATGGGAAAATAGACGTATGGGGTTTCATTAAAGGTGCGTGTCGGGCTTGAAGAAGACTTCGTAGACGTTCCAGTGGCGTCAAGAATTGTCTCTGTGTTTGTTAAATCTAGTTATCGGCGGGGATCTATGAAGCACAATTCGAATGATGAGACGTCGTGGTTTTTCCACTAGAGAACAGATGTTTCGGGCATTCGACGGAGCGCCATCGATAACCATTGCTCCACAGCTGCCTGTTGATTACGATCACGGGAAAATTCACGTACTCACCGGAAGCCAAAAAAAGAGCAACATACTGAATAGTCACAGTGATGCCGAACAAGGTCTTCTAGTCGGCATTTCTACTTATAAGAGACCAAGATTATTCTGCGCATCTTGTCTGAGGGTCTGCATAAAAACCAGTTCGGTTAACTGTTACGGTAAAGGCAGGACAAATAGAGAAGCAGAATCCGCATGCATAGTTTGAAATTAAGGGTGATTTCGATTAAGTTGTGCCGTGTAGAACAACGCCACAGTCAATTTGGGACAATTTGCAGGCCATGACTTGACGTGCAGATAGATGTGTGCAAATTAGTAGCAAGGACATATAACAGATGAGCTCCACATAATTGAGCAATGGCCAGATTGACAAAGTATAGACATCGTAGTAATAATTCTGCATCGTACGACAAGGAATCGCCAAAAGTTGAATGAAGACCCCTTTAAGAAATATATGGTCGATTTGGTGAAGATATGGCGATATGTTTCTCGGCCGATCACGCAACGGAAAGCAGCACTGTTGGCTTGGTCCGGAAGGTATCAGTCTATCGGAGGATGACCTGACTTCAAGTTTCGGAGAAACGGAGGAGTGGTGTCAGAGATGACACCAGCGAATCAGCATTGGGACAGAAAGTGAATAGGCCGTAGATCAGTTTGAGTCAATTCTCTCGATTCGAATCATCCTGATGATGCTTAAGATGACCAAATACTGCTTTGTGGGGTGCATTTAATCAGCTTCCGTTTTTGGTAACGTCATGTAAGGCAAGACCATGTGAAAACCTAATCAGGAAAATTTTCGGGCGGCATACGCCGGCGCTCCGGTCTCAGTCATGCGAGTTTCACTGGTCGTCTCATCTGTAAGAGCAAAAATGCGAGATGGGCTGATCGCTGTGCTGCTTCGCGTTATTTATTCTCGAACAATACTGACGAAGACGAGGACGAGGACGACCCCAAGATGATTAGACCATCAGCAAGCTCGGGTTCAAGATCGTTGTATATGACAGCGAGTCGACACAAGGTTAATCGGCATGCTCACGCGATCGGGCGAAGAGCGATGAGTGCAAGGCCAGAGGAACCGAAGCAAGTAAAGGAGGGTGACGCAGCACGTGAGTAGCTTTTCAAATTCATGTTCTCGGATATGTTGACCGACACGAGTATAGCGAGGCGCAAGGTTACAATTCAACGGCTCCAACAAATGAAAGAAGCTGGGACGCCGATCGCAATGGTCACCGCATATGATTATCCAACTGGACGTGCATGCGAAGCATATGGAGTCGACATTACGCTCGTTGGAGACTCGCTCGCACAAGTATGCCTCGGGTATGATAGTACGACGCGCTTGACGCTTCCCGAGATGTTACATCACATCCGAGCTGTTTCCCGAGGAAGCAAGAACCCATTTCTGGTGGCAGATATGCCATTTGGGTCATATCATTCTGGCCCGGAGGATGCAACCCGGAATGCAGCCCGAATGGTCCAGGAAGCCGGAGTTGAAGGAGTGAAATTAGAGGGCGGCGAGGAAATCTTGGACAGTGTCCACAGGCTGACGCGTGTTGGCATACCAGTCATGGCTCATGTTGGCTTGTTGCCCCAGAGGCACGTTTCTAGCTCGGGCTATCGAGTTCAAGGGAAGGATGCAGCATCCGCAAAATCGATTCTTCGCGCCGCACAAGCTCTTGAGGACGCTGGTGCATTTTCCATCGTTTTGGAGGCAATACCTAGTAAGCTCGCTGAGTATATCACAAAGAGGCTGCGCATCCCAACGATTGGGATAGGAGCAGGTCCTGCAACGGACGGGCAGGTGTTGGTTTGGGACGACATGATGGGAACCTGGAACGGCCACAAGGCGAAATTCGTAAGGCGGTTCGCCGATGCGAAGGCAGAGCACAAACGCGGTGTTCTCGACTATGTTGAAGCCGTACGTCAACGAAGCTTCCCGGATGAGACTGAGAGCTATGGGATGGATGAAAATCAGTGGAAAGAATTTTTGTGTAACGAAGGATTGTAGTTTTTATAGTCGTATTTCATATTGTAGTCGTTAGTTTATTCTCCAAAGTCCTTGTTGCTCGCGGGTTATCCACTGCTTGGCAGTTTAATATCTACAAAACCCTTGTGTAGGACATTCCAAACGCGTTTCCAGGTTTACCGATGAGCTCGAGTAGAAATAATAACTGGCCAGGAGAAATAAGTTTGCAAGATAACCCGCAGTGGGTGGTGTGAAAGAGCGGCATATTTACCCGACGCGCGCAGAATTTGATGTTCCATCAGTCAATTTATCTTCCGGCCGCCACCATGTCGCGAAACATCAGGAAAATAATCCACCCAAGCTCCCAGTTAGAACACGACAGACCCGAGACAGGTCGAGAGCGAAAGATAGTTGTTGCCCAGTGAGTCAGGTTTTTTCTCCCTCCATAACGATGTGCCTCACGGCTTGAGGTTAAAAATATTAAACTGACTTTAAATATTTCTTAAGCTTCATAGTGGGAAACACCGCGGTAAAACATCACAATTAACACGAATACCGTTCTTGTCTATTGATATGTGCAACTTTAGCCTTATACGCCATCTGACTGGGAGGATGACATCAGGCTTGCTAGCCGCCATGCAATGTAGGTGTTTTGGCAGTCAGTCTTCAAGTAATCCGAGTCTGAGGATGCACAACATTGCACAATATGCTCTGGAAGTGATGGCTTTGCTCTAAATGTAGGCAAAGAGTCTTGGCAACTGGACCGGGTATCTTCTTGTTTTGAGGCCGCGGAGCGAAGCGAGACGGACTTCAAACTTTTCCTCAGCTTTGACATGTCGTAAGCAATCCACGAGATTTAATTGTCATTAGTGCAGGAAAATCAGTTCCGGAACAATTAGATCGCTGCCGTCATCCTCCCCACAGGATATTAGGCTCCTCAAAGAGTACATCTCCAAGTTTGCCCTCCGTCCAAATTATCTATTTTACAAGGGAAAGGCTCTCGTCTCCACGTTCGCCGGAGAGAATTCCCTGTTCGGATGTGATGATATAGATTCAGCCTGGACGCTCGTGAAACGGATTTTGGAAGAAGTTTGCCCAGTACGTGACTGTCTATGTGGCTTCTCAATAATATGCCTTCAAGAAGGAAAGCCCAGGTTATTTTTGTTCCTAGCTTTTTTGTCGATCCAAGGCGCTTACATTCCATGAAGTGCATAGATGGTGCTTTCAATGTGCGTTCTAGCATGTTAATAACGCTATTTACTTACAGACGTAGTATACACACGAAGTGGAACGGCAGTTGGCCCATTCAACTTTCGTCGAACTCTCCGAAGGGAGAGCTTCCTTTCCCCAGACTGATGTCAGACGTAGAATACATTCGTAACATATATGGAAAGACTTTGATGACGTCCGTATCTCCGTGGTTCTTTACGGTAAGCAGACGAAAGCCTTGCAGTTTCTTTGCATCTACTCATAATCTATACTATTCATTAAGCACTATGGGGAAGATTCATGGAACAAAAATGTGATAAAATATACAATGATTTGATATGGGCGTATCGAGTTCGCTGACACGAGAGTCACAGTGGATTTATCGCTGCGACGACTGGTTATTAGTTCGCCGATGGGAACAAATGATAGCAATACGGGATTTAGTCGACATAGTGCAGATCATATCTTGGAATGGTTCGATTTCCTTCTCACCAGGCGCTTCAAGATAGACAACTCATATCCTGGATAGACTACGGCGAGTCCCATTATGTTGGCCCCATCAAGGGAGCACAGCCGAATTCAGAGGCCTGGGTAAACGGCTTCGATCATACGGCATGGCTGCATCTCTGTGGGTACTTCTCCCGGTTATTCAAAAAACCAGAAACTTTGACGACCAACCCCATATCTTTACTCGACGATGTGGATCGAGTATTTGTATGGGCACGTCCGCACCCCCGTGATGCGAAAGCATCTGAGGATCCAGTGGGCAGGCCGAAGAATTGGGACCTTGTAAGCCGTCGTGTTCCTTTTCTGATTCATCGGCTTTACTAATTGTTTCTACTTATATTTGCTTCCGCTTTTATGGGAATATTGATGTTTTCTGCTCAAAATGTATTTAGACTGAAGATATGTTTTGGGTTGTTATTCTCGCACATGCGCCCGCGCACGTCCTGCTCTGGTCATCCAATACCGATACGAACACGTGTAGCCCCTTGGTCAGGTCGACCGTGGTAGGGGAAAATCTGGAAATGGAGGAGGACAGAATACCCGCTGGCTTAACGCAGCTGTCGTGTCCCCTGGTCAAAAATGGTGGAATTAACGTCCAACTGATTCGTGGTGGCAGGATAGTGTTGCACTTTCATCCGGTGGATTTCGTGTTTGAAGCACATCCAAAGAAGTACAACTTCAATGCATACGTGGCAATGTATCCTTGTTAGGTCCAGCATCGCTTGACGTTGTTCATCAACGAATCATGCAAAATTGGTACTTCCACAGATAAACCTTCTCCGAGATGCCCGACACCGATCTGGCCGCACTTCAAAGAAACTCTGTGCCTCAATCAAATCTTTGAGCATTGTATACCTTAGAAGTTTCGCGCAGTCTAACGGAGTACGAAAATCACAAGCACAATTGCCTTCTTGAGCAAGTGATTTCGGTGACCTCGGACAAAACTCGTGATCTCGGAAGCAGAAATGACCAAACGCGAACTTTCATCCATGGCATCAATGCTCATCATGACTCGGAACGCGGTTTTCTCTCTTTAACTAATTTCACTTTCCTGAGCCCACATATATAAACTAGTTTCAAGTGCTCGCCAGCCCCATCATACTGTTTACTAGTGCTCCTAACGTATTTTTTTTTTCATTTAAGGATGATTATGCTTTCTGGCCGAGATATCCCGATGGACATTCTTCCCTTCATTGTCGGTCACTTGGATGACCGCAGGGATCTCTTTAATGCAACTCTAGTGAACAAGTCGTTTTATCAAGCGACGATTCCTCTTCTTTATGAAGAGCTGGATTCACGCTTGATCAGCTCAAGCAAGGTAGGACTACCACACGACATTTTTAGGGTGCTTTGCTTACTCAGGCATACTTACTCGGATGACTAGGGCCTCGTTGTTCTTCATCCAGCAGAGACTTTGTTACAAAAACCAGAGCTGGCAAAGTACGTTCGCATAGTAAATGAGAGCGGTAAGACCTATTTAACCATTCACCTTAAAGCAATGTCATAGCGGTGAATGTTAACAGCTGTTTTATTTCATAGGACACGTTCACGGAGCTCCACAAACGCGAGCGCAGAACATTCACATTCTTTCCCTATGGGCATTGCGTCTTTGTACGTCTCTTCGAACCTTCTCATGGGTAGACGACAACTTCCTCCCGGACGAAATATTTCTTGGGATTCTTGACGTGCTAAGAACTCTTCCTCTCACTGAACTCACGATTCGTACATTCAAAAATTTGGGTAATCCCGTCTGGGAAGTGTTGCATCAGATTAAAGGTCTAAAAGTGACAACCCACCTGTTTTCTTGACTAAGCATTTTCTCACATTCGTATTCTAGAGTGTTTCCATATTATGTATGGAAGGACCACCTCGGATTCTCCAAGGTTGGTCAGAAACACTTAGCCTGACGCTAACTCACCTCGAACTTGGTGTAAGCCCTTGTATTTCAATCTGTGAGAAATATAGGCTCACCCTAACATTTATAGCGTTGTTCCGGAGTCCCACCTACACTTCTGCTGAATGTGTTTTCTCATCTACAGATGCTCACGCACCTCCGAATCAAAGGCGCACATACTCCTTCCCTTCCTTACTTCATCCAGGCTCTTCCACGTCTGCGAGCACTGGACACGGACTACACAGGTTCCGGAGCAATAAGACCATATCACGGCCAGCTCCGTATGCCATCACTTGAGATTCTGTGCTTAAAAGCTGGGAGCGTCGATGCAGGCGGTCCTCCAGGACTATGGTCATGCGCACGGACATTATTATCTACTAAAAGCAGTTCTCTTCGCGAGTTCCGTCTAAATACCTTTTCGATTCTGGGAGAAACGCGAATCCCACGACCTTTCTTACTATTTATGGCGGAAATGCATGGAAGGACATTGGCACGTTTTTTAGTGGGAACGACACTGTTATTGCTTGACGATGTTGCTTGTGTGTGCGACATGCTTCCAAAGTTGGAAGAGCTTTCTTGTACAATACCAAATGTAGACCCTGTAAGATTTGCTTCAGTCAATTTTGGTATTCCAAGAATAACTAACACATACATTCATAGCAAGAGATCCAAAATGCCACAGCACATGCTTATAACCTTCGAGTACTTCGTCTCAACACACCGATGTTCACAGGTTCCACGTTCCGATCGTCGTTCCCGCCAAGCAGAAGAGACTGTAGAGATGGTCCTACGTTATCGACCATGAATATCAACCCGGCGAACTTCGATCCGCTAGATATTGGGAAACGGACTTGTCGACATTCATTTTCTATTGAAGATGCACGATATATGATGCTCCGCCAGCGATCGCGACTACGGCAAATCACCGTTGGGCCATTATCGTTCGGGGTAAGTATTTTCAATCGGGAGCAAAGTCTCACTCTATCCGTTTTCGCATTCACTACCTCTCGCCTTGATTGTCCTGTCGTGACATAATTTTTAGCTAACTTGTTTTATGTGCTTTTATTTTTTAGGGCCAGTGGGTGTACGATAACAGCGCTCCTGAAAATGTGCGTTTTGAAGTCGTGCAAGTGCATATCGATAATGCACGTGGAGAAGCGTAGAGTTATAAGTCATATAATAGTTGTTGTTCAACACGACATACGTTCTCGTCGATACCATGTGACGCGGAATAGTTAGATTCTAAATTATTGCACGGAGACCATGTTGGTGCACACCCATGCAAGGCGTATAACACGACTACTGGTCTAAATGCAATGACGTCGCGGGAATTCAGCACAGATCAAACTAAAAGAATTGGAATCCCTGCTTACAAACTCAGACAAACCATTGTGTTCATCGAGTTCCACTTACTACTGGCCCGCTCGTCCAACCAGAATCAGAGGGTGAAGCAAATTTCGTCGCCTTTAACGTCCCTCCGGTAAGGATCCAAGCTCTCGCCAGCGCTCTTCGGAACTCATCAAGATGCGGGTTCTCTGGGTACTCAGTATTATATGTCGGATTGATATCCACAACGACCTCTTCAAGATCCTTCGACTTGACCAACTCCTTCAGAGTTTCGCTCTCATAAGCATCGTCAACTGTCGCACCAAGTACACGCGCGGCATTCAGGGATAATACAAAGCGCCCGCGAACTCCGTCAATCTCAAGGAGCATTTCCGAGGGATCTCGACCCGGGTAGAGTGAGCAACCGCGCATGAGGAAACGTTTTGTTCGACCAGAACCTGTCTCGAGCACCAGCACGTTGGTCGTATGATTTGCAGCAGAAGCCGAAGGCGCAGATTTCGCCCTTGCAAGTCCTGGAGGATGAAGATGAGGGCTTATTGGAACAAGCCGGACACGTAAACGCCAGACCGTCCTGTCACGCGAGGCGAGTATCAGTGCTCCTGCTGCTGCGCCAACGCCGATTTCGAATGTAGAGAGCGCAAGACGTTGCCATAACGGCCGCAGTTCGTATTTCTTTGAGGTTTGTGAGGACGAGGATGGCTGGTCTTGCGGAGAACCTGACGTCTGTGGCTCTTCTACAAGTTGAGTCCAATTTCGCATAACCATGTCAACGCTAAACCCGCTGCAAATCCAAGTTAATATCAAGTAAACTTGGCGACGTATGCAAGGGACTAGAATATGAACGAAAATATGACATGACTTTTTCGGAGGAAACAAATCGGAGGACCGTATTCTTATTCAAATGTCAAAAGAAAAAGACAGAGATGAAGGAAAGAAATTTTTAGGAGATCACTTACATGAACAGTACATCCAGAGCCAACAATAAATACACCCAACGCGCCCAGAAAGCAGGTTTCCCGTCAAACAGCGGCGGCTCATCGCCTAACTGTCGCGACCCCAAGACCACATCAGACGCGGACGCTGGCTTCGTCTGAGCTCGACTGCTTTTTTCTCTTCGAGTGATCAAGGTCAGAATACGGGTTGGAAATGAGCAGGTTTGATGCCGAATATTTAATGACCGCGAATTGTGAAGGAAAGGACCTGGAGAGCATGACGGGGTCGCGTAGCTTCGTTTGCACGTTGACTGTCGGAGGAAAAAGCCAGTGCGCTGCTCGAGCTGGATAAGTGTCCTCGAGCTTGAAGCATGGGCAATGAAACTTGAAGGGAACAGCAGCCTGTTCATCTTGCACCTTTTGTTCGCGAGTGTATAGTGTCGGCCTGACGCGACAAGCTGAAAGTTAGGCAATAAGAAATGTCCGAAATTTCTAATTTAGGGAAGCATTTTGTCGATCATCCTATTTTAGGCAATACTATAACTAAATATCCCAGCAGCAAATTAATTGGTGAGAGTTCAAGCAAGCAATATCCTGCAGCAAATGTGTATCACTCTTGTTACTTGCTATCAAACTGTTAGAAAGTGGCAGAGGAAATTATCAGAGTAATATAATTTATGTCTTCTGCCAATGCCTAAAAGAATACAATTTAATCCACATTTTATCTATTGGATTATCTGTACAGTCAAGATTGAGCTTGGTGGCTCTAAGGAGCACAAGGAGATACAAGCAAAAACTCTCTCCAGGAATATGATAAATGAACCCTTGTTTCATCCCTTGCTCACTTCTTGTTCTCCTCATCAAAAGTTTATACACTAATCAGATAGATATCTCTTAGAGTCTTGGACATATTATGCATTCTACCCTGAATTGTAGCCCTAACAATGCAAAGCAAGCCTTGTGCACCTACCACAATGCCTACATGGATAAATTAACAAGATACTCAGAAATACTCTACTAATAATTTTATAAAGCTAGGAGAATACAGAGAGAATCTCTTTCTTGTGTTAGATATACTCACTTTACTAGTCCTAATCCTTAGGAATA